ACAAATACGTGTTCTTTCTGCTTTATTCTGCTAACTTGGGCTTGTTCTTTCATTCCAGCTACATATCAGCATGTTTTTAACTAATTTCAGCTTGTTTTCAGATACATTCAAGTTTTCTGTGGTCATTATCTGCTACTTTCAGCCTAATTAACTTTTCACTGATACTTTCAGCTTGCTATGCTATTTCAGCTACTATTTAGCTGTTTTTATGCTAATTTATTCTTTTTCAGCTAATTTCTAATTTTTTGGGCTCATTTCAGCTATTTTTACTTCCCTCTTTTAGTTGAAGATTCTTTGTGCCTTTTCAGCTACTTTTTGCTAATTTCAGCTTTTTTTAATCAAATGTCCTTATTTTTATGTTAATTTCTGCTTATTTTACCCTAATTCACCAAACGTGTTCTTTTTGCTTTCTTCTACTAACTTAAGCTTGTTCTTCCATTTTAGCTGCATTTCAGCAAATTTCAGCTGTTTTCAGCAAGTTATTTTGCAATAAGCTTTCACATTGCATTATCGCTGGAAATGCAATTTCTCTAGTTAAGTAGTTCATTACTGACACAACCTGTGCTTAGAATTCCTCATATTTTTTTTTTTATCTTTCACTTGACTCTTCACAAGTTAATGAATGAAAAAAAATGAGACTTGAGTTCTGAGAATAAAGTTTGTTCTGAAAAGTGACGCTGAACTTGATCACAAATCTTCTGAGTTTTCTCAGTGGCAGATACGTTTTCTCATCATTTTCATCATTCTGGAGTTTGGGCTTTTGACAGAAAAAGTTATAAAAGTGTTTTTATCTTTCTCAAATGTTCAACATCAGTTGGATTTGAGTTTATTTATTTACTGAATCAGGCTGGAAGGAGTTTCCAGTAAATTATGAAATGTGCACAGCCCCTCACATTGTTGTGGTAAATGTTCATACTTTTGGAGATTATCGCTAAATTCCTCAAAAGAATATGTCCTCCCTGTGGGCTTTAATGAAACAAAGTTAAAATTTAATAAAAAAAAAATAAAAAAACTTGCTTATACATATAACCCCAAAAGGTGATACTTGGACAAAGTAGTAGATTACTACAATGCACTTTCACCGCTGCCTATAAAATGTTTGATTTTATTAATATACATCCATTCATGAATTTTGTGGCTCCAATTCATGACAAACAAAGCTGGGATGCCAAAGAGTTTGTTACTTTTTCTATTGTTACTATTTGGTCTCACAGCACAGAAAAAACTACAGTATTTAGATAAATATTAAATAACTAAGTTATTTTTAAAACAGCAGCAGTCCCCTTTGGTCACAATCACACTAGCTTTTAGTTCATCCCAATGTGAATGAATTAATCAATTTCTTTCAAATGAGGGTGATCAAAAAGCTATCTACAACAGGTAAGATATTAATTTCTCACAACCATTCCACAGAACTCCACTATAAAAGATCTGAGCTCAGGATAATTTGATAATCAGCACCTATCAATTTACCTAATCCTGGAGGAAGCAGTGAAAGTTAACTTCTGTAGTTTTCCCACACATTTCTGTTTGAAATGAGCAAATCTGTTGTCAAATAATAACTCTGTAACGTGACAAATGTTCAGTTTAGGCACAATTTATAAAACAGTTTTTATAATAGCTTTTGTATTGAAAGAGTTGAGATTTGCCATTGAACAATAAAACACATGATATACAAACACAACGTACTTTAAGTCAGAGGTGGGCAACATTATTTTTTACAAAGGGCCACATAGAGAATTGGAAAATACATTTTCTTTATGACAGATAATCTAGAAGACTTTTTTCTTATTGAAATATATTATCACAAGAGCCACTTTACAGAATATGTCTTATAAGAGATATTCTGTAAAGTGGCTCTTGTGATAATATCTTACATGTTAGCTTAACATGTTATACATGCTAGGGGAACTATGCAAAACAAAATTATAAATTTGTGTTTCTAAGTCTTTAAAGTTCAGTCTAGTTCTGACACAATGACTTAAAAAGGGTTTTTTTAAGTTTTGCGTAAGATTAATTAAAATTTCCTTAAGCCTCATTGATAAACTGCTGCATTTTTTAATCAATCTTTATTTAAAAAGTTGATTTTTTTTAATAATAAGGACTTTTCCTTTAACTTATGAGCTGAATTTAAAAAAATCTTACTTTCTGTTGCACAAACTGAAAATACAAAACTCGGCATTTTAGTGATTGTCTGGATGGAATGCAGGAATGTGCTGAACAAGGAGGAACGTCAGTCACAAGAAACGACAAATGTGACTGTGTTGCGCAACGACGGAGATAAAACATCCACATATTTTTACAAAACTCTGGCAGATGTGGGATTTTTAAGAATTCTTCATTTAAGGAAAACACCACTCCTTAAAGGAATACTGTTCTTCACCTTGCAAACAAAAGTTTGCAACAAATACATTCGATAATTTGTTAGCGCTCAAACTCAGCTGCCACACCAAACTTTAGCTCAGTATCTGTGAAACTCAGTGCTGTTTAGTTGTTTTCACTAAAGCTGATGAGCTTGAAAAGGTTTGACTCTAAAAGTTAAGCAGAAGCACATTCATTTGTTACTTTCTAAATATTTCACTCATTTCTGTCTAGCGGTTCATGTGATATTTTGCTGACAGTAATGAAAACACACAGACAAAAAAAATCACATGATTGTCTATATCTTTTATTGTGTGAGGCAATAAACATGTTAGATAAACAATATGATATTTTATGTAAGAACATATGAAGGCAGAGATTACTGTATTGCCTTTTTTTTACTATAATATTGGCATAAAATGAACTAATGAGCAACTTTTTTTATATTTTCTCCAAAGGCAATTATTTAACTTCAGCCCACCAAATAAAATTTTCATCACAATTTAGTTAAAGAGTTAATAATTAGGTCATTATTATTTAACAGCATTCGGTTAATAAGGAAATGTTCATTAAAGCTTAAAGGAATGTAAGTAATGAAACATTTCCTGATATTTGCTTTAGAAAGTTTTGATTTTGAAATCATTACTTACTCATAAACTCCTGACTATTTTTTAATGAGTCAGGATGGGGTAACTAAAGGTCATTTTAAGATGCTATAGAAATAAATTTGAGACTTACTGCTGGTGGACCAACCAAATTTATGACCAGTTGAAAAATAGCGTGCAGCGACTAGTCAATTTGAAATAAACAACAATGCATCAGAGGCTAATTGATAATGAATCATTATCTAAGTAAATTCTGTGATCTGTAAAGTGTAAAAGGTTGTAAACGTGCACTGAGGTGAACACATTATGGCCGTAAATATAAAAATAGAAATATAAAGCACATAATGGTAATAGTATTTAAATCTAAATTAATTTTAAATAGTGCAAATGAGTGATAATGAACATGACTATGGCATGCAGCCCATGTGTGTGTGGGTTAGGTGGTGCAGAGTTTAAAGGAGGTGAGCCTGTGGTTGGGAAGTTGTTAGTTTGATTCCCTTGACCATTAAAACTAAATTTGGGTGGAAAAGGTGAAACACCCACATGCCTTCAGACTCATTTGCCCCACTATGAGCCCTTGAGCAAGGCAATGGCACCCATCTGATCCCCCGGGTACACAAGGTGGCAGCCTGCTCCACCGTGTTGTCTGTGGTTGCGTCTTGAAGGGCCTCCAGTGTAAACCAGTTACCAAGTCGTCATGCAAATTCTTTATCCTCTACCTGTTTGCATTTGTAATTATTTCTATCTTAACATCTGTTTTTTGTCTTTCTTCCAATAGAAAGCGCACCTGGACCTGCCATTGTGTATCCGTTCCTCCTTCCTGTCCTCTCAAACCTCAGCCGGTCGAAGCAGATGGCCGCTCGTCCTGAGCCTGGTTCTACTGGAGGTTTCTTCCTGTTAAAAGGGAGTTTTTCCTTCCCACTGTTGCCGATGTGCTTGCTCAGGATGAGAGACTGCAATAAAGTGAAGATTCAACACAATCTGCTGGCTTCCTTAGATAGAGAACTTTTATCAATTGCTTTATATATATTTATATATATATGTTTTTGTACAGTGCCCTGACAGCTTCTGTTGTGACTTGACGCTATATACCAGTAAACTGAATTGAATTCTCTCAGTGACATCGTAACAGATATCCATTTGTGAGAGAAAGAATGTAAAACGCCCATGAGCCGGTTGTGATTAGCCCTTCAGAGTGCCTGAAGCCATATCCCAACATAAAAAAATTTAAGCTATTTTTTCTGCCAGAGGGTGTGACACTTACACAAAGCTTACCGTTTACTTCATGTTTTTTATACCGTCATACCTTCTTTGTATGCATTTAGGGTGGGGTGCAGTGCTACCACGCAAAACAAACTCTTAGACAAGAGGTAATGATACCTGAATAAATCATGCTCATTCATTCTATAAGCTGTAGAAAATGCTGTGCAAAAAAAAGGTAGAGCAAGCAAACCTTGCAAGTTTGCTGAACGTGCACAATTCAAATTGTGTAAACCATTTTTTAAATTTTCACCTCTATGCAACATAAACGGAGTCTATTGAAGCTCTCAAGTAAAATTAAAGTCTGCTTATGAGTTCAGACGGTGGAGATCGTGATCTCAGAGTAATTAGAAATCAAAAACAAGACTGAGCTCCCTATGCTAAATATTTTGCTGCTTATGTCATGAATAACTTATTAATAAAAGGTTGTTTCACTCAATTTTTCAATTCAGAATAAAGATCGTGAACCGTGACCAAAAAAATGTACCTAAAAAAAATAACATGTAAAATTGATTTAAATAGAACGCTTTGTTTTGATCGACATGATTGTAGGTTCAAGAAAACTACCGGTAGTAGTTTGTATCTTTCCAAAAACTTAAAACGGCTTTTTGACTGGAGCCATATGGGTGTGTTCCACTTCCTTTTAAATGGGTTAAAACATGTTTTATTACTTTCATCTCCTTTCAAATATAGTGCAACACAAATCTCTGTTTTATGAGATTCTTGCCCGAAGCGTCTTCACAGATCAACAAAAACAAAAAAAGCAATAAAACATTTAGTCAGAATTCTTTTAATAACAGACCTTGTACAAAACAGTTCCCTTTAGCCAATAATCAATCATGATACATCTCTGTTTACGGTTTTGTTGTTGCTTGTCAGGTTTCTAACTGATCACTGTGAGAATGCAGGCAGGCACTGGAGCATCCTTGATAGTGATCCCTTTAGAAGTACTCAATCGGGTCATTGTGGGTCTTGTTGTGCTGCACGGAAGTCAGCTCAACCGCATCTCCATGGCACGGGAGTTTTTTCCAAACACGGACATGAACGTGTTCATCTCCACCAACATGGACCTGAAAGGACATACAAACCAAGTGAGAATGCATTCACTGACGCAGCTAATCAAATAAATATTAGAGATTTTTTTGTTGGTTTTGTATAATCTGGCTAAGGCTGATATTCTCTTATCAGCCCCTTAAAACAAATCTAAAACTTTGCTTTTATAATCACTTGTTTTACGCCTCTTTTAAAAAGTTACAGTGGTAACGTTCATTCTCATTTCTGCCGTCATGGCAGTTGTAGTTGGGGTGTGACCCTGCAAAATGTGACCCGCAAATCTACCTGAGAAGTAAGCGAAGACTCGGGTTTAGCTATAATCCCACATTTAGATAAGTGATCGTTACAGCAGCCAAATGAAAAATGACTTCAAGGACCAGAAGAGCAACCTAACTGGAAATTAGGTGCAGATTTTGAGCCGGGTAAATGGGATGTGGTGAATAAGGAGGAATACAAAGAAATCTAACTGTAGAACCTCAAAGCACTATATATTTGATTAATTGTATTATGATAGTATCATAAAACCTTATGGATTAAGTGGTTTTGCTACTCTCTGATTATAACTAGAGTAATATTACCTTAACAAAGTAGTTGGTTCCGGACACAACCTGGGTTTTGTACTGCTTGGCAGTGAAAACAGTATAAGTCTTCCCTGCTTTCTGCTCCACCTGGCTCTTCACCTGAGAAGAAAGCAGTTAACAGAAGTCAACCAGGATGCGTTTCAATCCAGAGAAATTATAGTAATGAACTCGATTTTACTCACTTTGTCGCAGATCTGCTGTACATCTTTATCGGCATCCTTTACCTCGCTGGTTCCTCCACACATCGGCATTATGACGAGTTTTAAATGTTGAAAAAAACAACAGACAAATACGTGTAAAACTGACCGAGTTTAGGTTCGTGTGGGTCGTTTAAATTGACTCAGGCAATCACATGATGTCGATGTCGGAGCGTACCATTAGCTCACACTTGAAGGGGTGACGGGTTTAAATTCTACTAAACGGAGAAAAAAAAAGCAAAACTAAAAATTATTATTATGTTTATAAGTTATTTATAGTCTGTAGCTTTTACTTTTTACACGCTAATCTTTGTAAAAATTGTTTTTATGTAAGGCCTCTCTTTTTATTTGAGTTCCTCTCCGGCGTATGGTTCAGGCCGGAATGCGGAAGTGGGTTTTTTTTTTTTTTTTACGTGTTTTTGTTTTTCTCGGTGCTGGGTGACTCTCTGGTGTCTGGTGTCTGGTGACTCTTCATTCATTCAACCTTTATTTATACAACTTATTCTCATTGAGCCATGAGGACTCATTTACAAGAGAGACCTGTTTTAAACGAACACAGATGAGGTACAAAGAAGATGAGGTACAGACAACAGTAGACAATCATAAAAAAAAGCATATAAAATGAAAAGTAAATGGAAGAAATCATATTAAAAAATGATACAAAAAACAGCTACAATATAAAGCAACAATAAACAAATGTGTTGTCAGCATAGAAATGTAAGGATGCATCAGGGATGCTCTCTGACCTACATCACTCATGTAGTTTGTGAAGAGGGTGGGTCCTAATATTGAACCTTGTAGTACACCATTGTTAACAGCTGGAAGAAGTATCATTATGTTGAACACATTGCCTCCAATCTGAGAGATAATTAGAGAACCAACCAATGGTGTGATCTGAGAAACCAATTTCTGAGAGCGTATGTCATGTCATGGTCCACAGAGTCAAAAACTTTAGACAGATCTAAATAAAGTGCAGCACAATCGTCCTTAGCATCCAATGCTTCATCATCATTAAAAACCTTCAGCGAAGCCGTCGTGCCGTGTTGTTTCCTGAAACCAGATTGATGGAGAGGTAAGATGTTCAAAGAATCCAAATACTTCTTGACTTGAGGGTTTATCCATTTTCTAAAACCTTAGCAAGAATACAGAGTTTAGAGATTGGTTGATAGTTGCTCAGTATGGGGTCTCCTCCCTTCAATAAAGGTTGAACAAAGGTTGTTTTCCAATCGTTTGGACTGGTGTTTTGGTTTATGGACAGATTAAAGATGTGAGACACCAGTTCTGCAGTGATGTGTGTGTCCAGCCTTAAGAAATAAAGAGGGAGGTCATCAGGGCCTGCAGATTTTCTAGAGTCTAGACCTTTTTTTTTTTTTTTTTCTTCATTCAACCTTTATTTTTAGCAGTTTGTTAACCTTACCTCACTAACAGAAAACTGAAAATGAAAAGGGAATGGGGAGTGTTATGTGGAAAAAAAACACATCTGAGCTTTGGAATTGAAAAATATAAGAATGTGATTATCTAACCAATTAGTTTAATTCATTCTGCAGCAAATCAATTTGCAAAAGCACAAAATAAATAAAAAATTGGTCCTAGTTGTTTTGTTATGAAGATTGTATTTATATGTTTTTACTCATAAGCTCTTCTTATGTTTTGTCACGGTTTAAATAAGTCAGTTTTTGAACATTATATCGTTTTTATATATATTTGGTCAGCATTTTATGTACTGTAGATTTATATCCCGATAAGCAGAAGAAAAAAAAAACACTGAATAAAAAATAGATTAGTCATGACCTGTCATCTCTAACTTTACACGTGAATTTAAAGAAAAATATTTCTTCTGCATAAAGCAACAGTTTTGCCATGTAGAATATGACACAGACACGGACTGTACAGACGAAAGGCACTTCAGGTTTATTGCTGGAAACAGAAATCACACATTGTGTGCCAAACAAAGAGGAACATCAATCACAAGATAAAACAAAGATGTGACTAAAAACTGGGGATTATTGCTAACAGTGTGTTTTTTTTTATTTTTTATTCTATTCATTTCAAGTTATAAAAGAGGAAGTGTGGTACATTTCTGCAGTAAGTGAGTTATATACACGTAGTTTCTTCTGAGGGTTTTGTAAACAGGTTTGAGATGGACCATGAACTTCAATCATTAGAAATTGATAACTTCATGTCCTCAGTGCAGGCGCTGGACTTTAATCTAGGTCGAAGTACTCGATCGGGTCCTGGTAGCTCTTGGGCTGCTGCATACTGCTCAGCTCAAGTTCTCCCCCGTAACATGGAAGTGTTTCATAAACACGAAGGTGAACGTGCTCATCTCCACCAACATGAACCTGAAAACACAGAGTTAGAGCACACAACTTAAAAAAACAGCAACTTTTAATAAGTTGAAGACAACCTGCATTTTATTAATAAAGCTCAAAGAAGTCTAAATTAAACATCATGGACAAATACATGTAAAATATTTGTATTAAAATAAGCCTAAACTTTCTTTTTTTTTTTTGCCCGTACGTCATTGTTTGTGTTTCCATAACTAGACTGAACCTTAAAGAATCCAAAAAGCAAACATCTAACTTTATTATTATTATTATTATTTGTTTAATAATTGCATTTGTTAATAAAATAAGTACCGGTATGTTGTCACGGAGCCAGTTTATAGAAAGGTCATTCTAGACTCACACATACACTACATTGCCAAAAGTATTTGCTCACCCATCCAAATGATCAGAATCAGGTGTTCCAATCACTTCCATGGCCACAGGTGTATAAAATGAAGCACCTAGGCATGCAGACTGTTTTTACAACCAAAGAATGGGTCGATCTCTGGAGCTCAGTGAATTCTAGTGTGGAACTGATAGGATGTCACCTATGCAACAAATCCAGTCGTGAAATTTCCTCTCTCCTAAATATTCCACAGTCAACTGTCAGCTGTGTTATAAGAAAATGGAAGTGTTTGGGAATGACAGCAACTCTGCCACCAAGTGGTAGACCATGTAAACTGACGGAGCGGGATCAGCGGATGCTGAAGTGCATAGTGCGAAGAGGTCGCCAACTTTCTGCAAAGTCAATCACTACAGACCTCCAAACTTCATGTGGCCTTCAGATTAGTACCAAGACATTTTGGACAATTCCATGCTCCCAACTTTGTGGGAACAGTTTGGAGCTGCCCCCTTCCTCTTCCAACATGACTGTGCACCAGTGCACAAAGCAAGGTCCATAAAGACATGGATGGCAGAGTCTGGTGTGCATGAACTTGACTGGCATGCACAGAGTCCTGACCTCAACCCGATAGAACACCTTTGGGATGAATTAGAGCGGAGAGTGAGTGCCAGGCCTTCTCGTCCAACATCAGTATGTGACCTCACAAATGTGCTTCTGGAAGAATGGTCAAAAATCCAACACTCCTAAACCTGTGGACAGCCTTCCCAGACGAGGTGAACCTGTTGTAGCTGCAAAGGGTGGACCGACGTCATATTGAACCCTATGGATTAGGAATGGGATGTCACTTAAGCTCATATGTGAGTCAAGGCAGGTGAGCAAATACTTTTGGCAATGTAGTGATTGTCAAACTCAAGAGCCACAGGCCAAATCTGGTCCCTATCCAGCCATCCATTACCTTTTACCTGCTTCTTCCATTTTGGGTCACGGGAGTCGCCGGTGCCCATTTCCAGCAATCACTGTGCGAGGGGCGGGGTACACTTCTAAATTTTTCTTTAAAAAAAAAAACCTGATAAATACATTATTTAGTATAGACTTCTCTTGCCAGCTGGCTAACTTTTGAAACAAGAAAGACTGCTGGATCATTCTATCATTATTGATTCTGATGTGCAAAGAGCAACAGAACGTCAAATGAGACAGACTTTGATGAACCTGCAACCATGAAAAGACATCAGGTATCTGACTCGAGTTAATGCATCAGCTGAAAGTGGCCCATGGCTCAGAAAAAGTTTTTAAATTTTGGCTCTTTTTGAGTTTGACACCAAAAGACTAGAAATATCTTCCTAAAGAAATCCACTTTGCAGACCTTTCATTGTTCTAATAACCCAATCTTGTCTCCACAAAACAAAAAGGTTGCTCATCCCTGTTAGATGATATCTTTTCTTAGATGTATTTTTTTGCAGTGACGCCAAATAGTTTTGATATCTGTAAAACTTGATAAATAACTCCTGAATCATAACGAATTTGTAGTGTTTTTCAGAGTCTGAAAATAAAGTAATATTTTCTCTATCTAGCACAACGTCATCCGCTTTCTGTATGTGCAAAAAGAAGAACGCACCCTAAATTTTAAATAAACTGTAACATTTTACTGCAGTATTGTTACCTTTATGAAGTAGTTGATCCCGGCCACCAGCTGTGTTTTGTAGCTTTTGGCAGTGAAAACATTGTACGTCCTCCCTGTTTTTTGCTCCACATGAGGTTTCATCTAAGGAACAAAATGAGGTAAGGGGAAAAAAATGAAACAGTCAAGCATGTAAGAACTAAACACTCAGGTCCAAGTGTGCTTCATAAACTCATTTATGTTTACCTGATCACAGATCTTCTGAATCTTTTCATCTGCATCGTAGGTCTCGTCGGAGATTCCTCCTACTCTAGGCATGGCTTGTTTTGAGTAAGGAGCAGAAGTAAAAGCAGCTGAAGGAGTGAAGAATGAGAGGAGTGGAGCTGGGAACTATCAGGCAAGCTTTGGAGTGTACCATGAGCTTCAGAGGGGAGGAGGAGTGTTGCTTGTTTTATGTTTCCCCCATCAGACAAAGAGGAAATGTGTGTTGATCTGTAAATAACTGCCTATAAAAGTCATATAGCCACATAGGTACAGATGTTTTCAGTACATCGAGGTAAGATGGTCAAACATTTCTCCACTTTTCACCATTTCCCACCCTCTGAATCACGTGACTCAGTCATGACGCTGCTGGTTGCTGGGAATGAACTGACTGCTGGGAATGAACTCTGACTGGAAACCAACACCCGAGTGCAAAATTCTTAAAAAGTCCCGTACTAATTACAAAACCTCATAGGGTCTCGTCGTCTTCTCTGTGTCAGGTTTATGCATCAAAGCAGTTCCTGCCAATAGTCTCCATTAGGAGTTTTGTTGCAGTCAAAAGGGACAGTCAACAAAAGCGGATGACGTTGTGCTAGATAGAGAAAATATTTTACAAATTTAAATTTGTATTTAAATTTATTATGATCAGACTGAGAGGCTGTTATTCTTAGCTAAATTGGAGATATATATATATATATATATAGATATATATATATAAATACATAAATACATATATATATATATATATGTATATCCCTTCTTTGTTGTATCTAAACACAGTACTGGTATTTTTAAGTAAAATTCTTCATTGTTCTGTGCTTCTTTAGTGTCCACATATAAGATAAGAGAATTTTATTGATCCTGCAGGAAATTGTTGTGCCAGAGTTTCAAAACATAGACAAAGCATCACACAAGATATAAACAATAACAGATCATTTTAAAAGATAATAGAGAATATTAAATACCAACAATTAAGGTCTAAAACAGGTCAGGTGCAGACAGAAACATTAAAGTGTTTATTGTGTATATTTTTTTTCTTCTTTCGACTGCTCCCTGTGTTAGGGGTCGCCACAGCGAACTAAGTCGCACGAAGACTTGGCAGTTATTTTTAGGCCAGATACCCTTCCTGATGCAACCACAGACCACCGAGCTACCACAGCCCTCTGTGTGGAGCAGAGAGCTGCTCTCTAGGACACCCGGAGGAGCAGATGGTGGGGGTTAAGGGCCTTGCTCAAGGGCCCAGAGTGGAATGAATGAGGGTGGGGGCAGGTGTGGGTGCTTCACCTACCCCACCCACATTTTTGATGTTGTCGGTACCGGGGCTTGAACCGGCGATCTTCCCATCACAGGCCCATCTTTTCTAACCTCTGCGCCACCACTCCCCTATATTGTGTGTGTGTGTGTGTATATATATATATATATATATATATATATATATAAATTTTTTTTTTTTTTTTTTTTAACAGACCCTTTCCAAAAAATTTGAATATCATGGAAAAGTAGTTGAACTTCCATAATTCCATTCAAAAAGTTAATCTTTAATAGATGATAGACTCTGGGCCCACAATTTAAACAATTTCAAGTATTTATTTATTTATATATAATTTGGGCATCCAGCTCATGAAACCCACAAAAACAGGATTTCAAAAAAGTTTGAATACTGTGAAGAAATCAGCCCACACTACTTCTCAGTTTTTGCAGAAAAAAAAAAGAGAAAGACATTAGGATCACAACAAACACTCTGTGAACAGCCAGCCTCCTTAGCTATGAACTTTTATGGCTTACCCATCCTATGGAGGGTATCAATGATGGTCTTCTGACCAGTTGTTGTGTCTGCAGTCTTCCCCATATTGAACTGAACTGAGACAATTGAACCAAACTGAAGCAATTTAATGGCACCTGGGGAAACCTGTGTGGGTGCTTTGAGTTTAGTAGATGATTAGTGTCACACTCAGTTTAAAACATGCATGCCCTGAAAAATATGGGCTGTTTTCTCCAAAGTATTCTAATTTTTTTAAATCTTGTTTTTGTGGATTTCATGAGCTGGAAGCTCAAATTATGTAAAAATAAACAATTAAATACTTGAAATTGTTTAAATTGTGGGCCCTGAATCTATCATCTATTAAAGGTGAACTTTATGAATGGAGTTATGGAAGTTAAACAACTTTTCCATGATATTCTCATTCTTTGGAAAGGGTTTGTAGCAGCAACAGTCAACTAAATGTGGCCTGTAAGTTTAATCAACTCAGCCCACAAAGTCATTAAAAATCAACTTCAGTGTGCTAAAAATGAGGGAAAGCCTGAGTGAGGAACGTTAATTTCTCCTGATCCTAGCGTATTATGATCCTCATATTCTCTTTTGACCAATCCCACTGAGATCACAGATTTCGTTTGCATAGAGGTCTGGGCGTGAAGCCAGCCTGACTGTGGGAGGAAACAGGAGTACCTGGAGAAAACCCACACAAACACACAGAGAACATGCAAACTGCACACAGAAAGACTCCAGGTCCAACCAGGGATTGAACCCAAGATCATCATGCTGTGAGGCAACAGTGATAAACACTTATCCATCATGCTGCCATGTACAGTATATGCTTTGGAAGTGAGCCACGAAAACCACATTTCTGGGACTGAAACTACTACAAAATAGTATTTTATCACAAATATTTATTTAATTTTGATATTTGTTCATCTTCAATTAGTGAGGAACCCACATAGCTGCTCGAGCCCAGTACAGTATAGAAGCATTGTCAGAAGTTAAACCTTTACAGATTTGGTTTTGTTATACAGTTTTCTTGTTAAGTGTCTTTAAGTCCCTCAGATTTATCTGATGACACCCTGAGGTGTCTTAAGCCCAGGATTAAACTGCAGGCCTACACTGTACACAATCAGCTTTGACTTGTCCACCGATGCAAATTTCATGAACTGCAATAATCTAACAGGAAACTATCTGTTTATTTGCTTTGGCGATGCACTGTGATAAAATACAGCACGACTGACAATAATTATGGTGTTGGAAAGAAGATGATCTGCTTGAGAAGATTTTACAGCTTGTTGCAGCAGAAAAAGTGGATGAAAACATTGGGGGAAAGCTAAGACACTTTAAAAAGCTGCAGTTTTCTCTCATGCAGCTGTGTTGGGTGGTCACTGTTTCCTGTTGCAATTGCAATTCTGGGAAATGGAAACCAAACTGATTACCGGTAAGTAATAATAACAGGAAAAGAGATTAACTGAGAGATTGTCCACTAGAGAAAAAGTAGACGCCTGTTAAAACGAAGCCCCCCTTAGAGACATTGACTGAGGAAAAAGAACTAAAAAGATGGCATATTTTGGGAATATTTGCCACATTACTTACACTACAAGCTACACCAAGCTCCCTTTGCAGATATAAGTAGAAATGAGAAAAACTGTGAAGCTGAAATGGTCATCTGGAATAAAATATGTGCATGACGTGTGAGCTTTATTTAAAGCTAGACCAAGTTCTGGTGTCTGCAGACTTTGCTTGATGTGAAATTGACTTGGAAGGCTTGCAAAAAAAAAACAACAACAACATATTAAGCCATGGATTTTTTGTTGCTTCAGCCACTGCTGAACGCTATAACACAAAATCACTCAAGCATTAGAAAACTAGAACTTATCTGGCAAATATTAAGACCACCATAAATTAATAGTTAATAAAAAAAATCCTAATAATCAACTTTATAAGTTTCTAAAGACAACAAGCAGCTTTTTGTAACAACTCTATGTTGCTTTGAATGAAGAAACGTGAAGGATCAGTACAATAGGAGCTGTAGGGAGGTGTTTCTGCCACCAGGGGGCAGCACCGCACATTGAAAGTTCCCAATTCTCGACGAAGAAAAACGGCGAACATAAATTTCCGTAGAAGAAGAAGTAATCTTGAGGGCAATAATATAAATAATACGTCATGATAACAATTTCAAGCACTCTGAACGTGCCTGTCTTTATGATGCTGTCTTTGGTTCTGTCCCGGAGTTTCTGCCAGGTTGTAACGGAAGTCAACCGGAGGTCCTGTCCGACTTTAGCTTCCTTTATTCGGTCTTTCTCCACCTCAGGGTCGACATGTTGCAGCGGCAAACAGGAGGAAGTACCTGAAGTAATAGTCGACGGTAATTATCAGACTTCTCTCTGCGTCCTTCAGGAATAACCTTGGTTATCTTTACGCATTGACATGTTTTACAGTGTTGCTGTAAGAAACGAGGACAAAAACGGCCAACTATTTCCAGCTTCTGAATTTGAAACAGTTTTTGTTATTGATGGTCATCTTTATTAAAAACAAGAATGTTTTTAATGAGTTAGCTGCGTTTTAATAGAGACTTCCAGACAGAATCAGCTGGAGCTCCCTGAAGGTTAAACCAATGAAATGAACCAATGAAATTTGGGCATAAAAAGTGGTTGCTTCCTATAGTTTATTCATTTTAATATTTCTTTTTTTACAGAAGCCTCAGTGGTGACCCTTCCCCAGCTGAAGACCATGCTGGCAAACCATAGCATCCAGCTTTTTGATGTGAGAAGACCGGATGAGTATGCAGCTGGTCGTATTCCTCAGGCTGTCAACATCCCATGTATGTCTTCCACTTACAACTCAAGTCTTTGAGCTGTTTTATCTGGATAACGTGCATTAATAATACGTCTCCTGAATGTGTACAAGTGGACACCCTGGAGGAGTCTTTGCAGCTGGCTCCTGCTCACTTTCTGCAGAAGTATGAGGTGAAGGCGCCGAGAAAAGAGGACGACAACATTGTGTTTCATTGCAGAACAGGAGTCCGGAGCTCCAAGGCGCTGCTCATCGCTCGTCGGCTGGGATTTCACAAGTAAATACATGGCGCACCCCTATTTATTCATTTATAGCTTAGATTTGCCTTAACCAGAGCTGCAAATCATCATGGTTGCGTGTGTATTTTAAGTTTTCATTCTAGATTGCAGTGTCTTGTTTTGGCTGCTTAAGTGCTGATCGTGTAGAAAAACAAGAATTGACATCCTTTTATTTTTATTTGCTACTTTCTTTCAGGGCAAGACATTATAAAGGAGGATACGTCGAGTGGTCTGAGCAGGAAGGACAATAAATCCAATCGGGAATCTTTTTTTTTTTAAATATTCAAAACTTGAGAATTCACTGAAAACGACTGCTGAATTTTGTTGGGAAATGTTTCATGTTAATATATAGTGCCTGGATTTTGTTGATTTTTTAAATGTCTTCCACATAATAAATGTTATAATTCACTGTTTTAATAAAATTTATATATACTGTAGTGGTGCTTTGAAGTTTGTGAATTTCCTCACTGTAATGAGGACTCGGGTCATGATCATAATTTTTTATCTTTATGAGGGTGGTATACGGGGACCTTTGTTTTCTATTATCGCTGGTGTCTTATGCAACAATAGCTTTGGTACTTTTATCTTTGCTGACTGTTAATTAGTCAGAAGGTCATGGCTGTAACGAGGAGTAGTTGGTTTGTTTCAGAGCCACAACATCGTTAATGTCGAGACTGATTCAACCAGTTAAAAAACTTTTTTTATTCTTTTTTTTTAATTGTCCTCATCAGTTTTTGTCATTAGTTTCACATGTAAAGTGTGAGGCATTTTTCTTTTTTAAAATGTGTCTCGTGTAATTTAAAATGAATATAGTTTTTTGTTTATTTTTAAGGGTTTTGTAGCAAACCAGGAAACTGTAAAGACAATATTTTGAAAGTCCTTGATTTCTTTCTTTTGTATTGACTTGATTTTGTTAGCATTTTTCACCATTACAAACATTAAACCATTTATCTTAGAATTTCTTTTAATATGACACAGCTCTAGAAAAGTTTTGTGTAGGTCAGACATTTATAGAGCTATTCTAACAGAAATGTGTAATTTGTGATTTGATTATTTATGAAGTGCAAAGGGCTTCATTTTCAGTGTTGAAATTCATCCATTACATTTTGAAAACTCAAAAATCATAAAAGCAAAGTAAGGCAGAAAAGTTAAAGGCCTGGAAGATTACAAAGGATAAAAGCATCCACAATATCAGTGGTGGCGTCAATTTTTTTTTCATAAACCAAAAGGATGAGATTTTCTTTTTAAAAAATAAACATCAGAGGCACATTTAGGACAAGAACATCAAAAATATCAACTGTTGTTCATCTAGTTTGATTTGTTCTTACTGAATACATTGTATGCAAGTTTATAAATCATCTAACGAGCCACACTTTTCCTGTAACATTAAAAAGTGATCTTGATCCATAATTTCATAAGATTTTCGAAGGTCATCAATCATCCTTTGGACTTCGGCAGCTTTTTCTCTTGTTTTCCATCCCGTCCTTCAACCTGACCATGACAGCGTGGTGTGCAGCTTAAAAAAACGGAGTAAAGCAAGTGAAGGACAAAAGAAATCAGGCCTAAAAAAAACGTAACTACAGCATATAAATAATCCATCCATCCATCCATTTTCTTTACCCGCTTATTCCACTTTGGGTCACGGGGGTCGCTGGTGCCCATGTCCAGCAATCACTGTGCGAGGGGCGGGGTACACCCTGGACGGGTCGCAAGTCCATCACAGGGCCACATAGAGACAAACGAGAAAAAAAAAAAACATTCACTCTCTCACTCACACCTAGGGACAATTTAGAGTTACCAATCAGCCTAACATGCATATTTTTGGACTGTGGGAGGAAACCGGAGTACCCGGAGAAAACCCACGCATGCACGGAGAGAACATGCAAACTCCACCCAGAAAGGCCCCTGGACCGGGGTTTGAACCAAGGACCTGCTCGCTGTAATGTTAAAGGAAAAAAGTGACCTGAGAGATGCATCTGTCGTCAAGCTTGCAGCTTATTTCTCTTTGAGAAACAACTTTTTAGTCTCAAACTACTTTTGATCTCATTTAAGGTTCAACTGCATCATGTGCTCATTGAGAGCTGTGAGTTGGAGGACAAAAAACATTTGAATCCCAGTAGATGGCAGCAACATTTCAGGCAACTTTATTAAAAAAAAGGCTCTTCTTCCCCAAACCTAATAATTTTTTATTTGAACATTGTTTTCACAGGCCTGACCTTCACACCGCTACTAGTCTTTGCAGATTTACATGCTGACAGTAACAGCTCTGTGAGCATCTGATGTGTGCAAGGCCTCAGCATCCAACATTCAGAGGGAAAGCATCAAACTTTACTCTGTCCCGTCCCACTCCTGTGGGTTTCTGTGGCTCAGTGGAAACGTTAAAGAGCAATGAATGTCTCGTCTAATGTGATGATTGGAGACGATGCTCAGACCCACAACAGTTTCCAGCTTGTGTGCAATAAATCTCCAGCTCAGTGAGGCAAAACCCAATCCAAGATGAAGTACCAGCTGCCATTCATGTGGTGCAGATGGATTTCCTCAGTGTTGCACGACGCACAGAAAACAGGACAGCAGAAATTAGCAGATGCTAGTTTAGAGTGAGCAGATGAGTCGCTGTGCACCACGACTGCCTGCAGTCAAAGTTAAAGATGCTCTATGGATGTCCAACACCACTGGTTTGTCAGGATTCACATTCTTTTCAGCTGCAGGACGCATTAGGATTCTTTCCAGCTCTCTGCAGCACAACAGAGCAGAGGAGAAGGATGGGTCATATCTCCAATGAGCACCAAGGACGTTTGGACACTTTTACATTAGTTAAATCATAAACTGGCGGGTGGTCTGACGTGAAAAATGATCGCTTCGTCATGTTTGTCAGCGACTGTGGTTACACAGAGCAGTCTGTCGACTTCCTGCTGCTCAGGGCTGTTTAAAATGCACTTTACTGAGACCATTGGAATAAAATCTATAGCCGTACTCTGATAACTGGAAATGTGTCAGACTGCTTGTTAAATAGTAAGGTGTCTCCCATCCAGGGGGGAAAGTGACTTTCCTTGTTTTACAATTAGAATTAAAGGCCTCTGAAAGAATACATATTGCCCACCACCCTTCATGCCCAAAATTGATAAAACCATTTTGATGAAAATGTGTGATTTGTTTGTGTTTTATTGATTTTCACATCAATGTCTGTATGTGACTTGAGTTATTGTCATTTTTGTGCTAAAGTCACTTGTTGAATTGGGTTGACTCCAAGCATTAGTTGCAGATGTTCATCCAGTGGTTTGTGGGATATTTTGCTGACAGAGAGGCAGAGATGACTCGGATGTAAGGGCAGAGTTTTAAAAACAGATGTGACGGGAATAACTCTCAGCTACTACCACACCAGATTTCGACTCAATGTACAAAAGGCTGTGTTGTATTTTAGCTAAGGTTGCTTAGTTTTGGCAGCCATCTTGAACTGGGCTGACTCCAGATGTTATAATTTCCATCCAGTGTTTACTTTCTGGGAGTGGTGGCCCATGAGATATTTTGCTAACAGAGACATGGACAAAAGCATCAGTTTTGCAACCTGTGGAGAACCTGTCACCACATTTAATAGTTTGTTCCTAAACTTCATTTTTGTGTCCTAAATTTAGAGAAGAATAAAACAAAAAGCTGGAAAAGACAAACTCCAGAGAGGCTTTATCCTTACTGGTGTTTTTTATTTTTATTTTTTCTGACATGTTTTAAGTGAAGAAGACAAGTGGAAGAGGTGACAGTCTCTTTATTTGTTGTTTATTCCCAGACTGAGCTCATTAAGGCTCTGTGGGACTGCTCTTCTCATTCCTTGTTTTTTATTTTATTTTTATGAGGCCAAAATCAAGTTACTTTGAAGTCACTTCCTGCAAAGTATGTCCCGAGTGGGGTCGCGAGGAAAGCAAATATGGGGCATGGCAGAAACTCACACATGACCATAAAAAAAAAAGAGTCAGTTCAACTGGAAATCAAAACTAATTTCCTGCCTGGAACCATTCGTTTTTCATCCAAACGCGCAAGGAGCCACCTGGCGTCTCCAGTTGCGCGCGCCTGGACGAGCCAAAAGACAGTGCTGCGCGTGCATCCTCAGAGGTGCTGAGCATTCAGAGAGCTGCTGTAACGAGCTTCGTGGTTTCTCTTCGAGCTTTCTACTATTTCACACACACACTCTCTCTCCGGGCTCTCTGTGCGCGCGCGCCATGGCACCGAGCGCTGCTGGACGCTGGGAGCGGACAACTTTTACATCTGTGCGGATCATGGAGCCGTTCCTCTGTGGCATCTGATGACTCCTCTGCTGGGAAACGGTAACAGGTACGAAGATTTGTGGACTTTATTTGGCTCTGGCGCGTGAAAGCGCCAGAAGTGACATGTTTTTGCTTCCATCTGCTGCGTTAAATATTCCATATGCTGTAATAAGTGAAATAAATATTTTTGTATTGTTCCTTTATGTGTCTTTGACTTCACTGATCCGAATCCTTTGCAGACTGTGATTCCAGCCACAAGATTTAATAGGATTGGTCGATTAACTGCTCTGGCAAATCAAGGCGCCTTGCAGCTGTGATAAATTTCACCTAACATGGGAGACAGAAATCATTCCGAATCTGTCGCCTTTAATCCTTGATACATATTTTGTTCTAATGGTTTGTGGAGGCAGTGAAGCATCCTCAGACTTGAGGAACACAATGACCAAAATCTAAATCTGTGCATGCATGTGTGCTCTGAAGGGTCCGGTGATGCACATTTTGCAGACACATGGGAGAATCAGGCTGTTGCACAACACAGGGTCACCTCTCATGAGCAAAAAGTGCCAATCAGTTTAAAGTTTTGCACCAAATACGAGGAAATATTTCACCAGAATGTTATATTTTTACCACCATGTGGTTCGACTAACAACTTCACCGTGCTCCAGTTCTTGGAGATTTGAAGGTGATTGGTATCTGTGCTTCGTCAGCTTCTCTTGTGGACAATAACACGATACTGGAGCCAAGTGGAATCACAGACCGAGAGAATCTTTAAAAGCCTGGGTGCACGCCAGCTCTTTAAATATGATCTGATTCTCCCCCAGTCTTCCTCCCTGCATTTCTGTCACCAGAAAGGGAGGAGAGTGGAAATAAGATGGATTAGTTTGAGCAGCGTGTGTGAACACATGTGCGAGCCTCACCGCTGCAAATGACATCTGGACTTATGGGCCAGAGTGAGAGGTTTAGAGACAAATGCAGTGCAGGAAGCAGAACGTGGGAACGGATCCAACTGGGCATCACTGGGTGGCAGCTTGGACTGGTTAGCCCTCCATGATGAGTTAACCTCACTGACACTGCTCTGAAGAATGCTGCCGGCCCCTTAATGCTTCTACAGCTTCCTTTTTATTGTGCAGGGCAGTAAAAGAAAACTTCATTCATATTTTGCACAGACTAATCTTACACATTTATTTCTTAGAGGATGTTCTATTGAAACGCAGGTGCACCAACAATATTGCTTCTATTTTTCATTCAGCATAAAAACTTCAACAAGCTTTACTGCTGGGATGCATTTCAGCCATTATGTTTTATTTATCAGTGCAATTGACTACAGTTGCTAAGAGGCAATTTCCCAGTGGGCCTTTGTTGTGAAATATGCTGCTGTCATATGAGGACTATTATGTTGCACTTATCTGACTAATGAGGTGTGAGAAATGTACTGCTTGCATGGGAATCCAAAGGAAGTTTTTGTGTCTGCTGGGCAAACACTGAACAATGCTTCTTTCTTTGGGTAGGTTTGCCAAACATCTCACCTCCATGTCACCGGGACGTCTCCATGGCGATGTTTAGCAGCGCCGAGCGGCTCTGGAACGAGTCTGACGGCTTTGCATGGGAGGAGAAGAACGAGAGCTCGGATGTGTCGGTGAAGGATGAGGGGGAGTGCAACTACTACGCCATGCTGTACTCCCTGCTCATCGTGGCCATCGTGTTTGGGAACGTGCTGGTGTGTCTGGCGGTGTTGAGGGAACGCTCCCTCCAGACGACCACCAACTACCTGGTGGTCAGTTTGGCTGTGGCTGACCTTCTGGTGGCCTCACTGGTCATGCCCTGGGCTGTGTACCTGGAGGTGAGTACCTGGATTCCATGATTTTTTTTTTTTTCAATCATATACAGAAGTACTGACAGCTGTGTCTCGAAATCAGTGGTTCCCAGATTTTAGGTTATTTCCAGGTACAAAATAAAACTGAAACTATAATAGAAGTAGTCTTATGGTGGCTGTGGTCATTTTGTTCATATTTAATTGCCCTAATTGAAAGTTTATACTGATTTTGTGGGTTGGAAGATGAAAGGTTTGGAAATTTTTGCCACACGCTTTTAGTTTTGGTTTACCCATAACCACCAGTTGTGCCTCATTTTGATTTAAACTTACATTTAGGTTTTATGCAGGATTTTGCACTTGTTAAATTGTGTGTAATTGTAATACACCCAGTATTTAGTTACTGATGTCACCAGTTTACCCCTTAATCGTCATTGATTATTATTTATTCATTAACCACTTTGGTCAGTTTGATCAGATTCAAAGTTACAGCGCATCCAAAAAGTATCGACAGCGCTTCATTATTATTATTTTTTTTTACATTTTATGTTACAGCCTTTTCCCAAACTGTAATAAATTGGTCTTTTTGTGGTCAAACCCCATTATGACAATGTGGAAAAAGATTTTGGATTTTTGCACATTTATTAAAAATAGAAAACTAAGACATCACAAATACGTAAATATTCACAGCCTTTGCCATGAAGCTCAAACTGAGCTCAGATGCTGTTTCCACTGATCATCCTTGAGATGTTTCTACAAGTTAAATGGAGTCCACCTGTGGTCAAATCAGCTGATTGGACTTGGTTTGGAAACACACACACCTGTCTATAGAAGGTCCCACAGTTCATGTCAGAGCACAAACACATGAAGTCAAAGGACTTGTCTGTAGACCTCTGAGACAGGATTGTGTTGAGGCACTAATCTGTGGCGCAGAACTGCCATCTAGGGCACCTGGGGGAGCAGATGGGGGGTGTAAGGGCCTTGCTCAAGGGCCCAAAGTAGGGCAAATGAGGGTGAAGAGTGGAGACAGGTGTTGGTGCTAAACCTATCCCACCCACATTTTGATGTTGTCAGTACTGGGAGTTGAATCATGGGCCTACCTTCTCCAACCTCTGCGCCACCACTCCCTCTCCCCCCAGTGGCCTCCATCATTTGTAAACAGAAGAAGTTTGGAACGACCAGGACTCTTCCTAGAGCTGGCCAGTGTCTAAACTGAGCGATCGGAGGAGAAGGCCCTTAGTCAGTCTGCTGGAGCTCCAGCGTTCCTCTGTGGAGAGAGGAGAACCTTCCAGAAGACAACCATCTCTGCAGCAATCCACCAATCAGGCTGTATGGTAGAGTGACCAGGCGAAAGCCACTCCTTAATAAAAGGCACATGGCAGCTCATCTGGAGTTTGACAAAAGGACCTGAAGCACAGGTCCTTTCTCAGACTATGAGAAACTAAGTTCTCTGGTCTGATGAGATAAATATTGAACTCTTTGGTGTGAGCAGGTGTCATGTTTGGAGGAAACCAGCTCATCACCAGACCAATACCGTCCCTACAGTGAAGCATAGTGGTGGCAGCATCATGCTATGGGGATGGTTTCCAGCAGCAGGAACTGGAAGACCAGACAGGATAGAGAGAAGAATGAATGCAGCAATGTACAGAGACATCCTGGATGAAAACCTGCTCCAGAGCGCTCTTGACCTCAGACTGGGGCAAAGGTTCATTTTTCATCTGGACAACAACCCAAAGCACATGACCAAGATCTCAAAGGAGCAGGTTCAGGACCACTCTGTGAAGGTCCTGGAGGGGCCAAGCCAGAGTCCAGACTTGAATCTGATTGAACATCTCTGGAGATTTCTGAACATGGCTGCACAGACGTCTCCCATCCAACCTGGTGGAGCTTGAGAAGTACTGCAAAGAAGAATGGGACAAACTGTCTAAAGATGGTGTGCTCAGCTTGAAGCATCATATTCATGAAGACTTGAGGCTGTAACTGCTGCTGAAGGTGGATCAAGTATTAAAGCAAAGGCTGTGGATACTTAAATGTGATTTTAGTTTTTAATTTTTAATAAAATAGCAACAACAAAAAAAAACTTTTTCACGTTATCATAATGGGGTATTGTGTGTAGAATTTTGAGGAAAGAGATTCATTTAATACAATTTGGAATAAGGCTGTAACAAAATGTGGAAAAAGTGAATATTTTCCAGATGCTCTTTGTCCTTTTTATGTAGATAAATATTAAACATGTATAGAAATTGATCTATACAATCTTTTTCCTTTAGTGCTTTTTATTCTGCTCCTATAATTTGCATTGCTGCATGCATACCTCTTTTTTTTTTTAGCAAATTTATTATTTGATATTTAATATAGATGTACGGTATATTTCTTTAACTGGTAATAATTTTAGCTCCAAAACCAGTTTATTTGTTAAAGTACATCTTCGTCCTAATTGGAGATAACCACTCAATGAGAGCTCTGAAGGAATAAAGGTTAAATAGAAAACGGCTGTTTGTCTTCGTTGATCTTTATTTTTCCGCTAATTGTTAATTTCCTCAGCATCCCACGCCGCGTTAACTGCTGCTCAGCAACCTTGTTATGTGTACAGGAGTGCATGGGCCTCAGGCATCCATATTTCATCAACGCAGTATGCAAAACACCGAAGATGAACTGAGTTTTGACACACAGGCATGTTCGTGTGTGTGTGGAAGGATAGCCTTGAAGGGACAGAGTGTGTTGTCCAAGGACAGATTTACCCATGAGGTCAAAAAATAATCTGGTTTAAGCCCACTTCTGTTTAACAAGCAGACAACCCTCTGGATAAAATTTGATCTGTCTCAGCAGAAGGTATTGTTACAGGACACAGAATATTCAACAGCACGTCAACTTGGGTGGATAAAAAAAGAATTGGGCAAAAGCTTAAAAAGATTAAAAACTATTGCATCCTATGAATGGTAACTTAATGTAGCCACAAACCATGACTGAAGTTAGTCATGAGTTTAACCTCCTTGTGTGCAGTCACGCTGCTAGAGAATGTGCTTTGTTTTTAATTTCAGTGCACATGTTGCCATTTGGAATTCAGTGGGGGAGATTGTAATCCCACACGGACTAAAGCTTTAAAATAAAAGTGCAACATAAAGTTTCTGAATGTGCTCATTTCAGCTAAATGTAAAGAAGTGTTTTATCTTAAGTGAGGGGGAGAAAAACATTCAATCTCAACTCTGCAAAAACATGTTTCCTCATAAGTTATACCAGTCAACAGTTGAGCTGCACTAGTTGCCCAAAAGTCTCAACAAGTAGTTTTTTAAAGCACCAGTGGACCACACTGTCAGAGAAATTGTATTTCCTGAAAAAAAATGCAGTGTGGCTGCTTATTGCAGAACAACACTCTGAAAAACAGCTTACATTAGCTAAAAGCATGCTGAAATGAAAGAACAAGCCTAAATTAGCAGGAGAATGCAGAAATAACACATATGTGCTGAATTAGATTTAAATAAGCAGAAATGAGCACAAAAATCAAGATATCAGCTAAAAAAGGCCAAAGATAGCAAAAAACTTCTAAAAAGGTAGCCGAAAAGGCAGAAAGAACTTAACATATGAGAAGGAAGTGGAAAAAGCTTAAATGAGCTATTAAAAAAAAAAAGTGGAATTACCTGAAAAGCTTAAATTTGCATTTTAGGCAGTAGCTGAAATAGCAGGAAATAAATTAAACTAGCTGAAAAGACTGAAATTAGCATAAAGAAGTTAATTAGGCTGAAAGTAGCAGGAATTACCAAGAAAACTTGAATGTATCTGAAAACGGCTGAAATTGGCTAAGAAATTTCTAAAAAGGAAGCTGAAAATGTAGAACAAGCTTAAATTAGCCTGAATGGACTGCACTTATATAGCGCCTTTCTATCTTATCAAGACACTCAAAGCGCTTTACAACACAATCTGTGCCTCATTTACCCGTTCACACAGCACTCTACTAGATCTCTACAAAGACTGAACAAATCATTCTAAAGAGACTAATCAGTGATTTATCACATTCATACAACGATGGGACACACATCGGAGGCTATGAGGGGTTCAATGTCTTGCCCAGGGACACTTTGGCATGTGACTGCTGGTGGATTTGAACCCCCAACTCTTGCCTTGGACGACGACTGCTCTAACCACTCAGCCACAGCCGCCCCATAAGAAAGCAGAAATAACACTTTGGCCCAGTTAGGCTGAAAGAAGCAGAAATTATCAGAAAAAAGCTTAAATTACTAAAAGAAAAAAAAAATGCTGAAAAGTAGCTAAAAGTGCAGAAAGAAGCTGAAATTACATTAAGGAGGAAGTGGACAGAGTACATTTTTGCTGAATTAGGCTGAAGTAAGTTGAAATGAGTGCAAAAAATGTGGAATTAGTTGAAAAAAACTTCATTAGCATAAAAACAGCTACCGGTACAAAGTAGCTGAAATAGTAGAGAAAGCTTAAACTTGCAGAAAACAAGCTGAAAGGAGCATAAGAAGCTGAAATTAGCAGAAATAACTTAGAAGAAGCACAAAAATGTTGTAGTTGGCAGAACGAATCTGAAAGGAGCACAAAACAGCTGAAATGAGCTGAAATTAAATTTGCACACGGAAGCTGAAAGAAGCCAAGGTTGTAAACAGTTTGTTGAACTAGTGCAGCAAAATATTGAACTTGAGACCAAACATGCAAATGCTGCTGTGAACATGTCGCTTGATATCCAAGGCAACCAATAAATACACAAATGGCTTTCCATAGTGGTCTTTGCCAGAAACATGGTGATCACTCTCTCTGCCCTCGGCAGAAACAAATCAAGTGTCCTTGTGTAATTCCTCCTAGGATGGTTGAGTTGAGCTATGACATAAACCTGAGCAAAATGGCCGTATTGGCAGCAGCGAATGAGCACACAACTCATTCTAAATGATGTTTCTCAGCCTCTAAATATATTACCTATCTGTGGAAATGGCTTCATTTGTAGGGAGGAAGTCAGTCTGCTTCCTGTTTCGTCAGGTGTTTTGTTTCACACACTCTAATAAGATCAGACAGAAAGA